ATGCAAACAAAAGAAACCTTAATAATCACTGCCAGAATCAGTCAAATTTTGTAAATTAAAGTAGAAGCTGCCTTTCAGCTCCTCTGAGCTTTTACAGAGCTTTTACACAGCTTTTACACAGCTTTTACCTCTTTAAACAGTCACCTTGGGGGCCCCACTAGAAGAAATGGAATTCTATGGGCTTGGCAATTCAGTACACCTTTACCACACCACTATGGTGCATCAGCACCCTGTGGCGTTGGCAGATTTTTTAAGCATTGCATGAAACCATCCCTGGAGAGCTGCTTGCAGACTGCTGGTGAGGCCAAGGCATGGCTGTGAGGAAGGCAAATCAAGGAGCCTACCATGTTCTCAACACCTCCTGAGATCACATTTGAGAAGCAAGGTGGTTATAAGCAGTACAAGATGAGGTCATTGCTTGTAAAACGCTGCACAAGATCAGAACTATCGATCATTCTTATCTATTAGCAGGTGATTCGCTACAACCCATCAGCAGAGTCCCCAAACAGCCTCTCTAAGAGGCATTTTGTTAACTCTGTATCTTACATTTTTAGGATACATTCTTCAAAAATCAATACAGACTTACAGAGAACAGGATCTGTGGAGCAGAAGATAATATGCAGTTACATACTAATTCATTATGGACAAAAAAAATAATCACATTCGCTGGTTACAAGATTCTATAAATTTTGTATATAAGCACTGCCCTCTACTGCTCAGGGATTTTCATTAATGCATATTTAATTAAAAAAAAAGTTTCAGCACTGTTCTTTTTAATTAAAATGTTTGTGTAGGCTTGCCTGTAAGAAAAGGACTCTGGATCTTTTTTCTTAAAAGAAAAATCCTAATTTATCATTTTTTACAAACATAAAACACCTGTGTTCTTATGTTAGCTAACTCTCTATGGAGAACATAGGTTTTGTCAAGCACGTACCTTAGAATAAGCTCATGCATCTCAGGCAGAAAAGTGGTAGAGGAAAACACATTTACAAGTAATCACACCTTTCAAAACTAGCCTTAAAATCCTTCATTATGAATTGTGACCACAGGAAAGCAAAGGAATAGGTTTTCAAATTGTGAAGATGCAATGGTAGCAAAAGAGTGTTTATTCCCAAAGTAAAGGCAATGTAATCTAATTCAAACTGTCTTGAGTAAATTCTTGTTACTAATTATCTGTTAATTTTATAGTACCTTGTCTTAAAAATTGTAAGGTGCAAAACACATGTGTGAGAGCAAGTTGAAAAAGACACAGAAATACTGTTAATACAGGGTCAGAGCATGGTTGCAAGGGCTGAGAGGGCTATCACCCTCTTGATAGGGAACTGCTGTTGTGCCCGACTATGACTTACTACAGTGTATTTGACATATGTCATAACTTATACATGGACAGTCTTCTCTTAGAATATGATTGTGTTCATCTCTGTTATTACATCAATAGAAATTAAAGAAAAAAATCATGGTTGCAGGAGCAAAAGTACTATAGCAAAACAGGAGGATTGTAATCATTGTCACAGGAATCAAGATGTCATGGCTGCTACTATGCTAGGTTTTAACACGATCACAAGGCTTGGTTATTATATTTTTTAATTTTTTTTTTCTCCAGGGGCTGAAACAGTTATTTCATAGAGGAATTTAGAGCTTAACTTTGTGTCTTTCCATAATAACTCACACTTATGTAGATGAAATTTGGACTGGTTAGCCAATAGAGAATTTCAGCACAAAACCAACCAATTGGAGAAAATGAAGCATTAGAAATGGCTTCGTGTCAGGTGGCATCACTTGTATCTCAGAAGGGTTTCTGCTTCTTTGAGAAAGACCTCTGTATTGCTGAGAAGAGATGTGAGCAGAGTAGTTTGTGAGGTTGGGAGAGTCTTTGTTCTTGGAAGTATTTTGGGAGATTTTTTTAGCACGTTACAGGTAAGTTTTTCTTTTTTTTCTTTTCTTTTGCCTGTTCTAATTGTGCTAATTGGAGAAAAATGTTGATATTAGCTCTAATATTGCTTTGGAAGTGTATTCAGCGTCCTGGCCTGTATCAGGAATAGTGTGGCCAGCAGGAGTAGGGAGGTGATCGTGCCTCTGTACTCAGCACTGGTGAGGCCGCACCTCGAATCTTGTGTTCAGTGTTGGGCCCCTCACTACAAGAAGGACGTTGAGGTACTGGAGCGTGTCCAGAGAAGGGCGATGGAGCTGGGGAGGGGTCTGGAGCACAAGTCTTATGGGGAGCGGCTGAGGGAACTGGGGGTGTTCAGTCTGGAGAAGAGGAGGCTGAGGGGAGCCCTCATCGCTCTCTACAACTACCTGAAAGGGGGTTGTGGTGAGGTGGGTGTTGGTCTCTTCTCCCAAGTAACCAGTGATAGGACGAGAGGAAATGGCCTCAAGTTGCACCAGGGGAGGTTTAGATTGGATATTAGGAAAATCTTCTTCACCAAGAGAGTGGTCAGGCATTGGCACAGGCTGCCCAGGGAGGTGGTGGAGTCGCCATTTCTGGAAGTGTTCAAAAAACGTGTGGATGTGGTGCTTTGGGATATGGTTTAGTGGGCATGGTGGTGTTGGGTTAACGGTTGGACTTGATGATCTTAAAGGTCTTTTCCAACCTTAATGATTCTGTTATTGTATTACTATGTAGATGTAAGTAGTGGAGAATATTGTGGGAGAATACTGGCTGTTGGTGGTGGTGTAACTATTTAAGGTATCAGTTTGGTTTGGAGAGCCTTGTTACCCAAGCTAATGGATCTTCTGCAGAGCATGTAAATTACTTTAATACAGGTAAACCAGAATGGATTTTTTCATAGACAAAAGATAAATATTCTTGTACTCAGGTGTTGCATATCTTATTTTAAAAAAACTTGATTCAGTTGTTAAGCTTTTGGGTGGAAAAAACTCATTTTCTTTGTGTCTTGCTGCGAAGCTTGCTCTGATGTGTACTTCCTAAGTGGTAGTAGGTTAAGACAACTCTGTCACCTTCTAGGTGGAAAATAGCATTTGCCATAATTTAAGAATAATAGCTTTTGTTTTGTTAGGGTCCAAGATGAAAACAACATGGATATGTGCCTAATAAACAAGTCTCTCTGTTCCTTCGTTGTGTTCTGAGAGCAAAATCTGCTCTGCAGGCTAAAAAATTGCACTCATAAGTTTGCTTAGCTAAAAAAATTCTGTAAGTTCTGCTGTATATCAGGGGTTTTTTCCATATGGATTTTTCTTTATACCAGTGACATAGTTCTCTTGAGTAACTACTTTATTGCAGTAAATAATGCACAGTTTCTAAAACAAACTTCTAGAGCCTTCTTTTCACAGAATCACTAGGTTGGAAAGGACCTTCAAGATCATCAAGTCCAACCATTAATCCAGTGCCACCATGTTCCCTAAACCATGTCATTGGTGTGTTTTCCTACGACTCTGGTTTCTGTGACTGTGATTATAGAAGAAAATTCTAGTTGCTAACGAACTTTCTCTTCCTTGCTACCTTTTACTGTGATAGGCATGTGGTTGAGCAAGCTTGCTTTTGCTTTTAGAATCTCATTAAATGTGTAACACCTGTGAAGGATAGATTTGTTTACTCTGGCTGCAGGTCTTGCAACTAAAATGCCCTGTAAGTTTGTGTGTTTTGTTTTTTTTCCCCCTAAATGTACTGCAGCACTTAACTAAGAGGTATAGTACTCCAGAGATGCTACTGGCCTGGGTGCCTCTTAACGGTCCCTGTGTCTGTGTTTACTGCAGAGTAGCCACTATACCAGTGGTCTCCACTTAGTTGGTTTTTGCAGTGTGCCTATAGGCTTGGGTGCAATGCAGTAGTTATCTATTATCTAGTTATCTATTGCTCTAATAACGTGGTGTACCAGCTTTGAAACACCGTATCTTTTTAGGTGTGTATGTATGTATTTTTTTTTCCTATTTAATATTTGCGTGTGTGATGTTTTGGATCTGTGTGCTTATAATGCTTAGCTCTGATAACCAGTAGATAGCACTTCCTCGTGATGAATTGACCTGTTGATTTAGGTGGTGAAGGGATTTTTAAGGGCACTTTACTAAAAAAAATTAGATTTGATTGCACCTACCACTTTGTCACATCTGTAGTGACTTCACTCTGAAAGAATTCCTTTGGAATGATTAGTTAAACTGATCCTGACTCTCAGTTGTGTAATTGTATGACCTTTTGAAAGTGTATTTGCCAGCCATATAGAAAGTATTAAAAGCAGCAGCTGAGTTGCAATTTAGTTTACTCGTACAGGGAAGGGCTATTACCTTAAGTAGGATGAGGGCTTGGATAATTGGGTACTTGATAACTTCTTTAATTTCACTCTTCCTCTTGTACAGAACTAGCACAGGCAAAAAAGTCTTATTTTTGATTTAAGGACACCTCCCTATAGAAACCGGACCTAGTTATTTTAGACTGTGTCCTGGAGAAGTTCTCTTTTATAGAGATCATTCTATACATTCACTGTTTAATTAGTGTAATAGGGTTATGAAAAATCTACTGATACTTTGTGTGGTGTTTGGCTGTAAAATGAACATTATAAGCCATAGTTTGGGTGTGGTTGTTCTCTGCTTTGTTAAGGCATGCCTTCTTAAATCTGTTTTTAGCGGGGGGAAATAAAAAGCAGTGTCTTTTTAATGTAAATGTAAAAGCTGAGCAAAATGGCTGGGGATTTATCACTGGGGTGGATTGGCTCAGCAGGGGAGGCAGCACAGGTTTTGCCCTCCCCCTGCACTATCTGTTCCCACAAGCATCTCGCCTATAAACTGGCAGAGGGGTTCAGAAAGTGCTCGTCTCTCCCTTCAGACACTAGTGAGGACTCAGCAAAAGTTCAACAGCAAAGTACAGAAGCACCAGATCTCTGATTGGGCTGCAATTCCGAAACAAGCTCAGCTTTGTCAAGACCAGGAGCTTTCCGGAATATGCATGGGAATGAGGAACAAATAACACAGGGTGAATGCTGCCTGACACCGGGTATCCAGCTGACCACTCTGGGCTATCTCATCCTCTCTTTCAGAACGAGAACATGGGGGATATGACACCAGCAGAGGAGACTGAGCTCAGGGCTGCTCGTTGCCAGTTGTTTGAATCCAGCATGAGGAACGAAGCAAGAAGACTGAGGACTTTTTGGCAATGGCCAGGCACCTCACCTGTGTCTGCCCGAGACTTGGTCAAGGCTGGTTTTTTCTTTGTGGGTCCAAGAGATGAAGTACAGTGTTTCTGCTGTGGTGGTGTCCTGAAGGACTGGGGGCCTGGTGATTGCCCAGTAGCAGAGCATCTGAAGTTCTTCCCTTCTTGTAAATTCATTTGTGGTGAGGATGTTGGGAACCAAGAGATGCTTCCTCTTCAGGAAATCTTTGACACTGTGGATGGGCAGTTCCTCAGCCTTTTGCAGGGAATAGACAGTGAGGAGGCAGGCCTGCCCAACGAACCAGAATACCCGGAGATGGTAACGGAGGAGATGAGACTATCTACGTTTCAGCACTGGCCACAATATACTGACATGCAGCCTGAACAACTGGCTAGAGCAGGATTCTTTTACACAGGTAGGTACTCTGGGGAAATGTTTCTAACTCTTATTCAAGTTAACTTTTGAAGGTGTCACTGTTCTACTGCTTGCACAGGCACTTGAAGGTATGTGTAGTGTAGCTGGAAACCACATTCTTCCTTCAGCCTGTGCTGTTTCAGTTGCTTGTGCAGAATTCACTTCAATGTGAACCCCTGTTTGCATACTGAGGGATCCACTAGGAAGTCAGTTCCCTTACAAGCATGTGTGGAAGAAGTGATGTGTTTTAAACAGATGTTTACTGGCAGAGAAGTGTGTGCTTTAAGATCCTATTTATTACTTGCACTTCTGGAAGGACTTGAAGCATACACTTCGCGTGTTGTGTTTTGTGTAAGCTCTGTCTTGCGCTGACGCCTTCTCTTCTCAAAAAAACCCCACATCTGAGTGAAACCTGGAGGTAGTCAGCCCATTTGGCTGTTGCTCTGGCTTGTTGCCATAAGGACCCTGGACTTGTAATACAGAAATAAAAGATATTTTTTTGTTTTGAGGAAAATAGGCAATATTTGTTGTTACCATATGCATGTGAGTATCCATATAACATGGTGGCTTCCCCTTGAGAAGGCTTTGCTGGTTAGATAATAGGTTTACATAAGTACTCTTCCCTGGATGGACCAGTCAGAAGAAACATTCACAGTATGTTAATACTTGACTGTAATTAAATATTGAGGGGATCCTTCTGTTTTTTTGAAAGCTAGTAACGTGATATTTCTCTGTTACAAGTGACTTTTTACATATGAGGAATCTATTTGTTTTGTAGTTGCACATCAGACCTGGAAGGAAGTGACAGGCAAGGTCCATAAACTAAAGCTCCCTTAGCAGAAAAAAACCTGTGCATCCTGAATGCCTCACACTTGCATTGTTGAAGTAAAATTGAATTGCCCTGTTCTCCACTTAAACTGCTATTTCATTGGTAAAGGTGGGAATGGGGAAAAAACAACCTTAAATGTTCTGATAGCTGGAAAATATCTGAGATGTAACATGGTGAGACATGCACATAGGAAAGTCTGTCTAAATAACTGACCTTCTGTTCTTTTAGCTTGAGTTGGAGGAAGTCACTGGTTAGTTTGCTAGTATGCCTCTTTACTTCTGCAAGATTTTTCATTCAAACTGCATAACCTGGATCTTGCTATAGGTGCAGTTAATACTAAGAAGCTGTACCTGTCTACTTGGAGCACAGCAGCAGGGGCTAAACA